AAACGAACTCATCAATTAAAAATTAACTCTAATATAGTTCACTAACTTTGCCTTTTGTTTGGGAACAAATAGTTGACACAAGTTAACCTCGAGCCCAATAAATGCACGACATATATCCAACTTATGATGTGATTAAATCATTTTTCGGAATCAGGGAGTTTTTTCCCAAAAGACCTATTAGCCTTATCGATAGACCTCTTTCATGACCAACCAACATAAACAACTCTCTATGTATAAATAATCCAAAAACTTGGACCTTACACAAGCGTAATTGTACACAACACCCACTATGACACAACCCGTATCCCTTTACTCTCAAATTCAACCGACTTAAGTACTAGAGGAACTCCAATGCCCTTTCTAACATGTCTTGGTGTTGCAAAATCCAAAATAGTTCCACAAAAATATTGTTATCTCATTGGTTGCCAGGAAATCAACCCTTACACATATATGATTACTTTTTGTAGATGTACGATAAATAATTAACTTTAAAATATATCGTAGTAATCAATAGAAACTCTTCCCTTTCACATGGAATTTTGTTCCACTTTGTTTTCATGTTAGTATTGATATGATATGTTCTTTGTTTTTATGTTTTTCAAGAGAATTGTAATATCATTTAATGGACCTGTGATTAAGTTGTATTAAATTTTAATTAATTTTTTCATGAAGTGTGACAACAAATAATTTTGACCTTAATATTGATCCTTTTTTTTTAAAACGGATGATGATTCGGTAACTACAAATTTGGTGTACAAAGTAACAAAGTTAATAACCAGAATAGATGTGTAAGTTTTAATGTTTTTGGTGTTCTATCATAGCTTCATTCATCCTTACAAACATTTTATTTTAAATTTGTTTATTTCTTGTTAGCCTGTATTCTATTAAATTTCATAACCAAGAACGCAGAGTCAAAATATTTTCATTGTGTTCCCCCTAAAAAATCCTAGAACAACTATTACAAAAACATATACGAATTTAGATCTCGAAGGCCATAAGATTCATGTGGTGGTAGAATTATAAAAGGCACTGATATAGGTTTAGTTTAAACAATATAGAAGAGCATAAAGAGAAAATAAATGACTATAATCTAGAGCTTACTCAGTTTGGAAATTGTAAACTTAATTTTAAAACTATATACAAAATTGAAAAATATTTGGATTTTCAAGAGTTGCCATGTATTTTCTATGCTAATAATGCATTAATGCTACACTAATCAAAAAAAAATTAATTATATTTTGAATACCATATCAATATAAATCATATGATCTAATGACTATCAATATGTCAAGTCATTAGGCTCTAAAATTAGAAAAGAATTTAGTGAGTACAATATTTTTCTTTATGTGCATTAGATCGTATTCGATGAATAGACTAAACATATTAGACCTCGTATGAACTAATAGATATTTAGTTTGTCTTACTATTGTGAATTTATATGCGGATTTCTATAGAAGTCATTATGTTAATAAACAGATGAAATCAAGGAAAAATAAAACAAACATATAAGACCTCATATGAACTAATATATATCTACTTTGCCTTACTATTGTGAATTTAGATGCAGATTTCAATAGAAGTCCTTATGTCAATAAACAAATGAAATCAAAGAAAAATCGACCGAATATACAAGACCTCGTATGAACTAATATATATCTAGTTTGTCTTACTATTGTGAATTTAGATGCGGATTTCAATAGAAGTCCTTGTGTCAATAAATGGATGAAATCAAGAAAAAATCAAAGAATTCATAGAACGATTCAGACCAAAGAAATGAAAGAACAAAAGTTAGTCAGATTCACAAAAACACAATGAATAGAAATTAAAAAGGAAATATCGAAGTAGTTTTGATGATTCAATAATATTATTATCATTTTATTTATTACTTACTTCAACGGAATGGTTTGTAGGATCCAATACAAAATTAAAAAATAGATGACATGATATTAAGAGTATTTTTAAAATAATAATAGAAACTTCGAATTGTTGTTGAAATATTAATTATTAAGTTTAAGNATTAAGAGTATTTTTAAAATAATAATAGAAACTTCGAATTGTTGTTGAAATATTAATCATTAAGTTTAAGTTTAAATTTAACGGGTATTGACTATCAGATCAAATTTAGTCTCAAAGACATCTAAGCTTTAGAAAGGTTGTTAGATAAGTTTTTAAATATTTTTAAGTCAAAATAATACTACCATTGAATCCAGAAAATTGTGACCCTTTGAGATAGGTGATATGAAGTATATTAGGAGTTTGAAAGTATTCCGGAGTTAAAACGCAATTTGAGGAGAATTATGGTAAAAATGAATTTGACACTATATTAGTATTTTGGTCATAAATTTTACTCAGAACTCTGATTAAGTTGATTGTTGTGGCATTGGAAATTGTACTTCAAGGGCTACAAAAAATATATTTCATGAAAAATTTGCGAATTAGATTCTAACTAGATCAAAATCGAGACGGAAGTCTAAGATAAAACGTAACTTGCGTTCGGACAGGAAAAAACATGTGATCGGACGCACGAGGCAGAAAATTTGTTTGTCCCATTTTGCTTTGAGTGTTTTCTCCTACCTTGATACTATAAATACCCTAGGGACTTATTTTAGGATTCCTATACATATTTTTCAACCCAAGAAGTCTATAAAAGTCTTAGAGATAAGAAGATAAGAAAGATGAAAAGATTGGGCATACTCTTAAGGACATCAACGTGTAAGCAGCCAGAATAAAAGCCTTAGGAGTAATTTTCTACGAATCAAGATAGGGATTCTTTCTTAGATTTATACATTGAGACTAGGGCTATTATTTATTATGCTTTTTAATATTGATCTTTAAATATATATTAGATAAATAAATATTGAAAATTCTATTCAATTACATGAATCATTTTTTGAAAATAAATAATTTTCATATAAGATTTATTCGTTCTTGATTCCCATGAATCAATGCAAATATGTTTATTGAAGATATCTTGTATGTTTTCTTAAAGTATTCTCTTTAAAAAGTTGTTAAACTATAATTCTTGATTATCACTAGGTTTTATGAAAAAAATATGAAAATTATCTCGTGCATGAGTGGATGTGATGAACGTGAATTACACTTGAATCTATGTCGCAGAGTGTTTAGATATGTTCTTTTACTTTGAGGGGTTTGAAAGTTTTCTATTACTTGTAGTGGGGTTGGTGCCTTGCGAGGATCAAACTACTATTCATTCACGATAATCGCGGTTAAGGGTTAATATAATAGCCATGAGAATGATTTTGTCACTATTGATTTGTCGGTTTTCGTCATTCTTAAAGTTGTATGACTTNTAAGTTGATTGTTGTGGCATTGGAAATTGTACTTCAAGGGCTACAAAAAATATATTTCATGAAAAATTCGTGAATTAGATTCTAACTAGATCAAAATCGAGACGGAAGTCTAAGATAAAACGTAACTTGCGTCCGGACAANAAACCTAAGGATTTATTTATATTTCTCTAGGAAATTGATCTAGTTAGTGTTTGAATGTGAAATAATTTTTGTTTACTTAATTGTATTTTAGTATGCTCTCATAGTTGAATGTTGTATAAATAGTGATGATTTCTAACGTTGTATAAATAGTGATGATTTCTAAGAAGAATTTTGAGGCGTTACATGTTACNCCATGAGAATGATTTTGTCACTATTGATTTGTCGGTTTTCGTCATTCTTAAAGTTGTATGACTTTGCATGGATTGATTTGATAGTTTGTGATATGATGTGGACTAGATATGTTTGTGGGGTAATTTCATGCTAGTCAGCCTGCGTATATGAGATATATTTATTGTGATCAATTATTATTTTGAAAGTTGTTTACTCTCCTTTAGAAATTCACTAATTTGTATCGAAAATTCATACACTTGTTAACTTCCACGTTTTACTTCAAAAGTATTATATGTTATTTTGAAAAAGAAAGACTTAAATGTTTTTATGATTTCTAAATCTTTTTTGAGTTTGAGAAGGTTTTTTTATTGGACTTTATCACTCACCTTACCACAATATTTTTAAAATTTTGGACTTGAGGAATATATAACCTTAGATGAGTAGGTTGACTTTGTGGAGGCGGTGGATCAAGATGTTGATCTGAATGTTGAGACTTAGAGAGTGTGTTTTTATGTTAAATTTTTGAAGTTCAGTTATTAGACAATATTTTAAAAATTTTCTTTTATTAGTTAGTTGGAAGGTTACTATACTAGTTTTGGGTGTAGACCTAAGGATTTATTTATATTTCTCTAGGAAATTGATCTAGTTAGTGTTTGAATGTGAAATAATTTTTGTTTACTTAATTGTATTTTAATATGCTCTCATAGTTGAATGTTGTATAAATAGTGATGATTTCTAATGTTGTATAAATAGTGATAATTTCTAAGAAGTATTTTGAGGCGTTACATGTTACATGTTTCTTAGCGATGAAATAATTAAATTAAGGCATAACTCATTGGTTGATTGTATCATTAACTATTTCCTTTATTTTATTTTTCGTACAAGAACTTATAATGAATGCACTTATTTATAATGTTTTCATTATTGATGTTTTCTTGATTGTGGAGCTTGTTTCTATTGGACTTGAAGTTGGCCAAGTTACTTCCGCGTTCCAAGTTATAGAAGGTATTGCAAGACAATTTGATGTAAAAGAATAAATTTGGATGTAATTAATTGGATTCCAACTAACTTTTGAACTCATAATTAGAATTGAATTACGTGGCCATAGGATTGTCCCCAAAAAACAACAAAACGTCTCGGAGCTCTGGACTCTGGAGCCCTAACATCTAGTATCGACCCGACCGCAGGGAGGATGAAGTAAAAGTAGGCCCCACCATTATAATTTAATCCTGCAACTATGCAATTAAAATTCAAGCTGAATCAGATCTCCACCAGCAGAAGTGTTCAAAGTCCAAACCCCAAACTCGATCCACCGCCATTATAATTCAAAACACGCAACTGTGAAATTTAAGTCTTTCAAGCTGTTCAATGCCACAGCACAGATCTCCACCATCGTCGATCCACCGCCATTTCCACAGCTATCACCGTTCAGTTTCAGGTGATTGATTATCTTTGGTTTCATCAGCGAATTGTGGATTTGCTAGATGAAATTCTTAGGACTATGTTGCTTTAATTACATTGAAACTGAGTCCATGATCAATTTACATTGAATTGTTTGAAACAACTCTAATGGTTGGTTCTGCAGGGATTGAGGTGTATTTGTTTAATTAAGTGATTAAGCAAGAATGCAACACGTTCCGGCTACAATTGAGGAACAGCTGATATTGAAAGCAATCAGGGAAGAATGCCCGTGGGAGAGTCTTCCAAAGCGGCTTCAAGCCACTTTGAATTCTAAAGAAGAATGGCACAGAAGGTTAGCTTTTACCAGTCTTAGGGCTGGGATAGCTTATTCTGTTGCTACTGATTTTTTACATTGCAGCTAAACTAAGCTATGCTATATGGGCTTGAGTTTAAATTTCTTAATAAAGAGATTTAACTGTTCATATCAATACCTTCTGTAGCAATTTTGGGTTAGAAACTACAGAATGTAATATTAATTTAAGTTATTCAACGTTTTAGAAATATTTGATTACTTGATTTAGTATGTACACAGATGGTCCAGGTGATTTAGTTAATAGGAGTCTCTCTAGTTCAGGGTTTAGTTTAGTGTGATATGAAGCAGTATTTCAGTTTGTGGCATATGAAGGTGCTCTTATCATGCGACTTTCCTGTGTGAGTTCTGCTGCTTGCTCATGATTTTGTCCTTTTTTCTATTCACCATCTTGTCATACAGGATAATCGAGCACTGCATAAAGAAAAGACTCCAATGGAACAATTGTTTTGGTCGCAAAGTATGCAAAGAAGGTGAATATTATGAAGATATGATGCGTTACTTGCGAAAGAATCTAGCGGTGCGTATTTCATGGAAGTCCTCTTGGTTATCTAAGTAATCAAATCATTATTTTTGCAGCTAAAATCTAATGTATGTATTTCATGCTAGTTGTGACATTATTTTTGTGGCAGTTGATNGAATCTAGCGGTGCGTATTTCATGGAAGTCCTCTTGGTTATCTAAGTAATCAAATCAATATTTTTGCAGCTAAAATCTAATGTATGTATTTCATGCTAGTTGTGACATTATTTTTGTGGCAGTTGATGTGGATGGTTAAATTGGAAAATTGCTAGCCTTAAAGTTCCAACTTACATCCACCTATTTTTTAATTTATCAGAAAGAAGATTATCAGCTAGTACTTTAACTTTGTGTTTCGTTACTGGGACTTTTGAACAAAAATGAAGAATGCTATAATTTGGGAGGTTGGCTATTTTAAGTAATGTTATCACTTGAACACATCCTGAAAGGCATTTATGCAAAAAATTTCCCTTCTTATCCATCATAATTTTTTTGTTCATATTATGCATTGAAAGAATAATATCTTATTAAATTANTGGGAGGTTGGCTATTTTAAGTAATGTTATCACTTGAACACATCCTGAAAGGCATTTGTGCAAAAAATTTCCCTTCTTATCCATCATAATTTTTTTGTTCATATTATGCATTGAAAGAATAATATCTTATTAAATTATCCAGATATCATAGCCAGACTCTTTGTTTAGCTTAGGCATGGAATTTACTTGTAGAAATTTGTTTTTGCAGTTGTTTCCTTATCACCTGGCGGAGTATGTTTGCCGTGTAATGAGGGTGTCTCCTTTCAGATACTATTGCGATATGATATTCGAAGTCATGAAAAATGGTACTAGGTTGTTATCTTAAATATCTTGATGTGATTTTGCTTAATGATGCAGCCACTGGGTTGGTGACAGCAATAGTAGCGTATATATTGATAAGTTTTTGAGGATAGATGTGCTGTTTGATACAGATGGAAATTGGTGCTGAAAACTTTATGCAGTTTAACTGTAAATTCAAGGGCTTTATGTCAGTTCAGATTAAAATTCCAAACAAATGCTTACTTCTTTAGCATATAGTGAGAAGTTATATCTTTTTGACTTAAAATTCAACTTTTTGAAAAAGGATTTTATTATTTTAAAGTGGTCGCTTCTTATGTGCTATCGGATACTGACAGGATTATTAGAAGTAGCCCCTGAGTCACATTCTGTTTATTTGTTAGCTTCCTGCCAATTAACTGTTGTTTTTCAACCAACAGTTGGGTCGTGGAATATATCTATTGGATCAATTCCAATAGAAAATCATCAACAATCACCACATTACCACCGAGTGGAGCCTCAAAAACGTGACTTTTTGCTACCAGTATAACTGAAGCAAACATTTCATGGAGAGGGGCAGAATGCGAATATTGAGTGGATAGTCTTGCGCTCTTTTGAAAATACTACCTAAGGCTAAGAAGTTGCATTTAAAATTTGTCAGTACACTTGCAACACAAGTTTACTGTCTTTTAATATCACTAATTGGTATACACATGCATTGCAGATGAACCATTTTGAATATGAATACATGGTAGATTAAAGTCGTGGACCATTTTTTCCCCAAAATCTACAACCTAAGTAAACATTGACGGATTAGACAATAGCTAATGAATCAACTCCGGATCACATATCAGTAGCGAACCAATTCATGTGTGTCTATTGTCATTTAAAGAGCATGAAAAGATCTAGTTCAACATTGTAGAGGGTTTGGATTGGAATGAACCAAGCTTACCAAGATTTAATGGGTTAAGTTGCCGGTACATTGGCATAGGTTATATGTGTAACTCATCTATTGAGCAAGGAAGGCATACCACAGACAATAATCAGAGCCATGGGATTCATGAACTGAGGAGAGGCAGAGGAGAAGGCACAAAACAAGTGAAGTATTGCCCCTACTTTCCCTGCTAAAAGTTCATCACATTTTTCTTCTATTGCCTAGTCATCCTTTCTTGGAAGGCCAACGTTCATGGTTTCATTTAGTCCACCCCCAAATTTATAAAGTATCATACACCACTATTTAATCTTGAAATGCTATTTGAGAACCTTCTTCATGTTGTCCCCGGCCGAATGTTTGATTCAATGATTCCGAGAAGTGATGCTGCCATTCAAATACAGGAAATAAAGGCATTAGCCCCAGAAAACATGAGCTAAGCAGGATCACGACTTAAATGTGATAAGGTCAAATGGATCCTGTTCACTCNATGTTTGATTCAATGATTCCGAGAAGTGATGCTGCCATTCAAATACAGGAAATAAAGACATTAGCCCCAGAAAACATGAGCTAAGCAGGATCACGACTTAAATGTGATAAGGTCAAATGGATCCTGTTCACTATCCGTTACATAGCTGTTGACCAAGTATAGTATTTCTGAAGCCAATGCTACCACAAAAAATGCAAACATAGAATTCAAATGACAGATTGACATAATCTCATCTTAAACAAATGGACTAGAAATTGGAGTAACACAATGAAACAGAAGTTATGACCATCTGAAACACAGTGTCAACCAGTGAAATCATACAGATCCAAAGTAAAACAGTAGAAACAACTTCTTGATACGTGTTGAAATAGGCCGTTGATTTCACACACACACACACACAACTGAAAACCACAAGAATTTTAGAAGAGAGATCGAGGATATGAAATATGGAAGCAATCAATTCCATTTGGTGATTGATGTATTGATTGAAAATGGTTTAGTTATTACTAAAACTTCTAACATCTAGACTATCAATTTGCTAGTTGTATGTGATAATGAGAATATGAATGACACTAGATATTCATGGCAAATCAGTTATTATGATTGCAAAGTAGTGGACCTAACAAAGAGTCGAGCAATATAACACAAACTGAAGCATTCTGCACAAATAGATAATTTAGTGAGCACTGAGAGAAAACAAATGATCAGTGGTGGAAACTACACAATGAATAGAATGATATAAGGGTTATTCTTGGTTAGCTTCGGTTACGAAAGTGATTCTATGGGCATTGAAGTATTTTACATGTTTTGTTAGGGACAATATAGGTATTCAAAAGTTTTTCTCACTTGTTGACATTTAGTAATAATATAGATATAGATATAGATTACAAGTACCTTTCTGGACAGTTTTTACTTCTTTAAATCAGGGGAGAACAAAGACAATGTGTAGTGATGGTACTGTAGCTCATGTGCTAAATTATCTATGCTTGGCGGTGCATGCCCTGTTGCATACAAACAGGCACTAGGTTAAGTGCAGGTCATGAGTAAGTAACAGATGCGGTCAAAATTTACTTTCTTTAGTCCTTGGCTTTTGTTTACAATATCAGATTTCTCGTGATTGGATCCTTTATTTTTATTGTTGACCAAAATGCTCTTTTTTTCTCTGCTTCATAGTTACCAACACGTACGGNAACAACTTCTTGATACGTGTTGAAACAGGCCGTTGATTTCACACACACACACACACAACTGAAAACCACAAGAATTTTAGAAGAGAGATCGAGGATATGAAATATGGAAGCAATCAATTCCATTTGGTGATTGATGTATTGATTGAAAATGGTTTAGTTATTACTAAAACTTCTAACATCTAGACTATCAATTTGCTAGTTGTATGTGATAATGAGAATATGAATGACACTAGATATTCATGGCAAATCAGTTATTATGATTGCAAAGTAGTGGACCTAACAAAGAGTCGAGCAATATAACACAAACTGAAGCATTCTGCACAAATAGATAATTTAGTGAGCACTGAGAGAAAACAAATGATCAGTGGTGGAAACTACACAATGAATAGAATGATATAAGGGTTATTCTTGGTTAGCTTCGGTTACGAAAGTGATTCTATGGGCATTGAAGTATTTTACATGTTTTGTTAGGGACAATATAGGTATTCAAAAGTTTTTCTCACTTGTTGACATTTAGTAATAATATAGATATAGATATAGATTACAAGTACCTTTCTGGACAGTTTTTACTTCTTTAAATCAGGGGAGAACAAAGACAATGTGTAGTGATGGTACTGTAGCTCATGTGCTAAATTATCTATGCTTGGCGGTGCATGCCCTGTTGCATACAAACAGGCACTAGGTTAAGTGCAGGTCATGAGTAAGTAACAGATGCGATCAAAATTTACTTTCTTTAGTCCTTGGCTTTTGTTTACAATATCAGATTTCTCGTGATTGGATCCTTTATTTTTGTTGTTGACCAAAATGCTCTTTTTTTCTCTGCTTCATAGTTACCAACACGTACGGGGTCCTGATTAATTCCTGTGTTAATGGTGCTTTATCATTCACTTATGTTCATATTATCTGCAGAGCAACCTTATGATAGCATTCCTAATTTTAGTGCGGCAGACGCATTGCGGCTCACCGGTATAGGAAGAAATGAATTTATTGACATCATGAACAAGTGCAGATCTAAGGTACTGATTAAAATCCTTAAAATGCAGTTTTTCTCATGGTTATGTATGATATGGTTTATCCATAAATTAAGATCATATATGTACACTTCTATTTTTAGGTACATTCATACTTGTCTGCATGTTATGATTAGGCTAACCACTGTAAGGTGCTTGTCTTGGTGGATAATAGTGTTCACATGATTTCACATCTTGGACATCATTTGGATACATGTAGGTTCAACATAGTAGGAGTATTGTGATTTGTTCATCATCTTTTTAACTACACGTTTGTGACCCATTTTGCTTATTTCTTTTTAACTTCGTCAAACTCAGGGTGCTAAGCTGTTACTTCCTTGTATAATTTGGTGGTTGTACATATTGAAACTTTGATCTCTCTTTTGCATCAGTTAATTTCCTTGGAATGCAATAGTGTTTTCTTCTAGATTTTTTTTTTGAAACTTCTTATCTTCTTATTATAAAGTATCTTGTTTTTTTTTTATTATAAAGTATCTTTATTATAGTTTTGTATTTGCGAAAGAGATATTCTAGATGAGGGAACCCTGTATATTAATTACTACTTTGTGGATGTCCATGGCCTAGTGACCTTCCCCTAATTGTAATATGTTTGGTGTCTGCAATGTTGTCTCATTATGGATGGCTGATGACTTCAAATTTTCAGTAGTTAAAACATCAATGGCAAGAGTGTTGCTATTAATTAATTATGCAGTGCCTAAGTACCTTTCATCTCACCATGTAGTCATCTCATCAATGTTCACAATTCTTGTGACAGCCATTAAGAATAACATAGCTATTCATATGATGCCTTGCCCGATAAAGCTTGGAACACAACATTGTCACAGGGAAGAAGCATGTGCAGGAAGTCAATTAACTACTGTCAGAAGAACCATGCCCCAGATGCTGGAAGGGCCAATAAGTAATTAGAGATCACACTGGAAAATACAGGAAACTTTGATGGCATCTCCTTTGATAACAGACTAACAAGACACAACATGATAAATGATCTCTTTGCCACTCCCATTGCTCTTTTTTTAATTTAATTTTGAAAGTCCAAGCCAGTCTTAGTAGTTAGCTGAACAATTCATCTGGTCTTTGCATATATCTTAGCGCTGCTACATCATTATGTACTTAACTATACAGTTTCTGGTTGACAAGCATAAAAATAGGATTATGACCATGAAGAAAAGGTCATTGGCCAGTTTTGGGCCCACTAATATGGGCTATTGGGTGGATGAATTGTGCACCAACCTAATCTTTGACACTATNCAAGCATAAAAATAGGATTATGACCATGAAGAAAAGGTCATTGGCCAGTTTTGGGCCACTAATATGGGCTATTGGGTGGATGAATTGTGCACCAACCTAATCTTTGACACTATGTACACAAAATCGCTGCTCTCAGATAAAAATGTCTATAATTTGTTTACAATCAAGTTGTTTCAATGTTTATGAACAAAGATGGGCTACCTTTTTTGTTCTCACTTGTCTCATTTGTTCTTACTCGTGTGGAGCTATCCAGAAAATAATGTGGAAGCTGAATAAGTCAATAGCAAAAGAAATGTTGCCTACACAACCAGTGGACTTTGTAATCGAGCCATGGTGGGGAGTATGTCTTGTCAACTTTACGCTGGAAGAATTTAAGGTGAGTAGATCAATATGAGTAATGCTTCTTTAGAATCACTGGCAGTTCAGCTGTACCTCAAGCCCTCAACCATACTTTAGTACTCCAGTGTGTAAACCTACGAATAATATCTTTTTCACAAAGGCTTCGAGTTCGAGCATTTTCTGATTGATATGAACTGTTTCTTTCTCTTCCTCCCACCTCCCCCCTTCTCTCTCTTACATTCCCCCTTCATAGAAACTTTCAGAAGAAGAAATGGCAACAATTGATAAAGTTTGTAAGGAGGAAGCAAATTCATTCATCCTTTTTGATCCTGACATAGTAAAAGGTCTTTACCGACGGGGACTGGTCTACTTTGATGTGCCCGTGTATTCTGATGATCGTTTTAAAGGTAACTTATGTGTTCAGCATTGCATACCAAAATTAGGCTCTTAGACTCATTTTCGCTTTCATCACTTAATTGATTTTTCTTGTTTTATAAATTTTGATTTTTGATGTTAGAAAATTCACNAGGTAACTTATGTGTTCAGCATTGCATACCAAAATTAGGCTCTTAGACTCATTTTCGTTTTCATCACTTAATTGATTTTTCTTGTTTTATAAATTTTGATTTTTGATGTTAGAAAATTCATGTGATTCAATCATGGTGAATAACGTATATAATCCACATACATATGTCATATTTTTTGGACATAAGATTTTTTTACTGATCATAAAAATCTGTCGAGATTATATTTTTGTGCAAGCCATTTGCTTTCTGTAAGTTCCTTTGTTAATCATTTGGTAGCCTGAGGAGTATAGGCTTTGTCAGCTGGTTACATTATTTAGAGAATCTTGAGATAATTTGCCAATCATATGCCTTTCTGCAATTCCCATCCTCTCTCCAAAATAGGGTAATATACATCTTAAATGGTGGAAGAACAGAACAATCTCTTGATAAATCTGTCAAAACTAGGTTTACTTTAACGTCTACGAGTGATGCTACATTGGAAAAGGAAAAGAGAGGGAAAAAAACAGGATTCCCTGATATCCCACCAGGGTTGGTGGAATCTTACAGACCACAAAACCATGAACATAATTAATATACGTGCTTATATCTTTCAGATGCTCCATAAGTTAAAAACAGACATTCTTTAATTGGTTTTGGGGAAGAATCTAACCTTCTTTCCACTGCATAGTGGATTGTTTGCATGTCAGTACTGAGTTGAAGGAATATGTGGGCCATTAGAGGCTATCCATTTTCTTTTATAAATTATTCATACTGATAAGTGATGCAATATTTTTCTTGGGTTCTTCTGGTTTGAATATGTGCTAATGTCTCACATAATTTATTGGATATAGCATAGAAATTGAAGTTTTTACTTGAAAATATGAAATAAAATGATATTTTGATGTAAACATAAAATATGATATAGCCCGTGTAAGATTGTCTAAAGCACTACTGCAGGCATTCCAGACTTGTGTACTGAATGATTGAACCATAGCGGAAACTATGAAAGATCCAGATCCAACAGGAAAAGTTAGATATCAATAAATTATAAGTTAAATGAATAATGGTCGATGAACTAGATTTTTTGTTATGCAAACANCAGATCCAACAGGAAAAGTTAGATATCAATAAATTATAAGTTAAATGAATAATGGTCAATGAACTAGATTTTTTGTTACGCAAACTGGAAGACTGGTTTGCGCTACATTTGGAAAGTCCGCAACCAGTAGGAATCAGATGATCGGCTGTGTGATTTACTTCGGGATTCAGTTCACCAGTTCTTGTAAAAGATGCGGCTGAGCCTATCTCTTCTCTTCTCTTCTCTTCTCTTCTCTTCTCTTCTTGCAAATCACTGTGCTTTGGAAGGATGACTGAACGAAACCTCTCCTGGGTTTGTTCAACCAATTTCTACAACTCTCTAGAAACTTCCAAACTTCATCTACTCAAGCCCAATCTTGATACTAACATCTCAAACTCCTATTTAGACTAAAATGCACATGACACTGTTTTCAATGCATACATCTATATAATATTTGAGGTCATCTGAAAGATGGTGTGCTATACTTGGATGAAGTGAGAGTGTCCCGAGTGCTGCAAAGCACTTGACCTCTCCTCTTAACATACACAACACCAGCATCTGCCGTTCTCCAAACTATCTAATTTAAGGCGGTTGCATTAAATGGTATAACGGGTTCAGATCATGATTCATGAAACTTCATTGCAGTACCTACTTCCTTTATGTTGAAGGAAGCCTTGGAACAGATCTGATTTGAGGAGGGACTGGAGGGGGCTTAAAGGCTTCAAGCTATAGTCTTAGCTGTGGGTCTTTGTCTAACATTTTGAATAAAAAAAAGGGGCTTGTGTATTCTGATGTTTCAGACAAGGAAGTAGAAAAAAGTGTTGAGATCACGGCAAGATAGTGTGCTAAACTACGACATTGGCCATGCGAAGTAGCCTTTGTTGCCCAGAAAGGCGTCAGACAGTGTGATACAGCTGATGCTCTGAGTAAGACCAAATGGTACAAAATTGTCATCTTTCATTTGGTTTAATGGTCGTGATTTTGGAACACCAGGGCCGAGTCTGACGGGCCTGCTTATACGTCTCAGTATTATGTGAAATTTTTAAGTAGTTCAACCCAATCCCATATGTAATCCATTAGATTAAGCATTTGGCCAAGTAAATGGATCAAAATTTTCTTTCACGTTTATTTGTCTGCAATGTGGGAATGATTTTCTTCCTTAGTTTGAACTTTTGGAGTCTAAATAAGGAGGCATGCTTGAGATAAATTGAGAACGGTTCAGCCTCCTTTCTGAACTTACTCAGCTTTCCTTCTTTATGGTTTGCTACTTTGCTTTTACCTCTATTTGTGAGTTTGGAATGTTTATATATACAGTGTTTCAGTTTCCAGGCTTGAAGGATTTGTTTCAAACAGAGAGCAGTCCTATGAAGATCCAATCGAGGAGTAAGGCAGTGGTCTTGATACGAGGATTCTTTGTTTTTTGTATCATCCAAGAGTAGAAATTAAGATTCTAATGACATTAAGTCCATCGTCCAGGTTGCTGTATGCTGTTTTTGTGGTTTCAAGTGAGAATTCAACTGTTGCTGAATTGTCGGCAACATTGCAGGCTGATCTTTCTCAGCTGCAGGCTGCTGCATCCTTTGCTTGTCGATTGGGATGGGCAGTAAAGTTGATAGACCCTGCATCGATTCTTCAGGAATCAAACCTACCTGGATCTCCAAAAAGTACCATCAGCGATGGAGAATATGGTTCTCTTGCTAGTCTGGGCTCCGGAAACATGTCCACTGATGTAAGTACTGTTCATCAAGGAGATGTTTCATGGACTGAAAACTATGGCCCAGCTTCTGGTTACACTCGGATTGCTTTTGTTGTGGATGCTAATATAACATCTTATCTTATGATGGGGTCTGTTTCTCCAGGTTTGTTCTTTGTTTTATATTTATGATATTTTCTTCCTTTTATCAATGACAAATTCATCCATTTTCTCAGCTAGGCATGTTTTCACTTCATTTGGTCAACAGCTCTTAAATTATAGGTTACTCGTTCTTGTCATACTCAAGGATCAAAATTTCATTTTGGTGCATAGTTTTGGCGAGTTTGGAAATAGAAACGTTTCGGTAATATTTCGCAAGCAAGATGGAAACAAAGAAAAAATTTAAAAATTTGTTTCCGAAACATTGGTCGAAACAACCGAAACATAGGTCGAAACACCTCGAAACATAAAAATTTTGATGTTTAATCAATGATTCGTTTTGGTTTCCATGAGAACGTAAACAATTCGACCGTTTTGAAACAAAATTTAATTCCTTGGTCATACTATAATTCCTTTTCCTTCTTTTGATACCAAATTCGTATTACCTAAATGTCTGATCTGATCACTTTATTTTATCAACCTACAATATTAAGTACGTTTGTTTGGGATTGGACACTAGGCTTCCTCAGTTTCTTTGTTGTGCCCCCAATTGATATGTCAATCAGATGGTTTTTTCTGTGATAGAGGACCATTTGGATCATATGTTTTCAAGTTCATTCGGCATGTGGAATCTACACAAGTTTTAGTGGACACTATCTTGGCATTGATTTTCCCACTCTACTTCCAATAGCATTTGACTTCTGTGCATGACACCTACATGATTATGTTTGCCTTGCTAAAAATTTATTTTCTTGCTTTTGTATGTCTTTTGCAGGCTTAAAATCTCATGCTGTTACCTTATATGAAGCTGGAAAACTGGGCCATGCTAGCATTGAAGATCTTTGTAAGGATCTGAGTACGTTAGAGGGGACAAAATTTGAGGGAGAACTGCAGGAATTTGCTAATCATGCATTTAGCCTGCGATGTGTCCTTGAATGTCTGACATCAGGTGGAGTTGTTAATGATGAAAGAGATGAGATCGGCATGATATCTTCAAGCAGCGAGGAGGCTACTTCTTTATTAAACAATGTTTCTCTGACTGACAAATCAGGGTATTTGTGTTTGAATGAACCTGGGGTAAATAGTGATAACTCCACACATTCAGCGACGCATGAGGAGAATTCTGACTTGGCTGAACCTGTCAGTGGAAGTACCGATGGTGAGAAATTATCTGCTACTATATCTGAAGAGAGTAATTGTTCAAATGAGAATTCTAAACCAGACCTTAAGCTCCAGAATGATGAGAAATCCATATCTGCTGAAGGTTTAGATGTAGGAAAAGGGATGCCAAGTAGAACAAGAAAATATCGGGTGGATATTCTCCGATGTGAAAGCCTGGCTGCGCTTTCACCAGCAACTTTAGATCGGTTGTTTCTTCGGGACTATGACATGGTTGTGTCCATGGTACCCCTTCCTCATTCCTCAGTTCTGCCTGGACCCAAAGGTCCCATTCATTTTGGTCCTCCCTCTCACTCCTCAATGACTCCCTGGATGAAGTTAGTGTTATATTCAGATGTGGCTAGTGGACCCCTATCAGTTGTTCTGATGAAGGGCCAGTGTTTGAGATTGCTTCCTGCACCATTGGCTGGCTGTGAGAAAGCCCTTTTATGGTCTTGGGATGGATCTACAGTTGGGGGGCTTGGAGGCAAGTTTGAAGGGAGCTTAGTAAAAGGAAATATACTTCTACATTGCTTGAACTCACTTCTTAAACACTCAGCGGTGCTGGTGCAGCCCTTCAGCAGGTATGACCTTGATAAGTCTGGAGGAATCATTACTATGGATATTCCACTACCCTTGAAGAATTCCGATGGTTCAATTGTTCATATAGGGGAGGAACTGGGACTGTGCACAGAAGAAAGTTCAAAGTTGAACTCTCTGTTAACCAATCTGGCAAATAAGATAAAGCTGTGGACCATTGGCTACATCCGTGTATTAAGACTTTTTAAAGAAAGAGAATCTGATCCCTTCTCTCCAGATGATGAGCAGTATGAATGGATTCCATTGAGTGTGGAATTTGGAATTCCATTATTTAGTCCAAAATTATGCAACAATATATGCAGAAGAGTGGTTTCTTCACAATTACTTCAAATGAATTTACTTACTGAACATCATGATGCAATGCAAGATCTAAGGAAAAGATTGCGTGATGTTTGTGCTGAGTACCAGGCAATCGGACCAACGGCAAGACTTCTCTACCAAAAAGAGCAACCAAAGGATTCATCCCGACAACTAATGAACTATGCGAGTGGAAGGTGGAACCCACTTGTCGACCCTTCATCTCCCATTTCTGGAGCCTCGACCGAGCATCAGAGACTGAAACTTGCTAATCGACAACGTTGCCGGACAGAAGTTCTCAGCTTTGATGGTAACATTTTGAGGTGTGTCTTAGATCGTATAGCTGATGCTTTATATATTTCACTTTGACAATTTTACACTGTCTATTAGTGTGCTGAACTAAATAAGTGCAAAAGACTTCTTTTATTCACCTTTTCTTTTTTCTGTTTTTTTTTTTTGGGGGTGGGGGGGTAAGAGAAAATGATTTAATAATGACTCCTAACGGACAAAGCGTTTTTTGGGGGCCATTAGGAAAGACAAAGGGCTGGAAATCCTACGAATGTATGCTACTGTGCAAGGTCAACATTAATATCCACCCCCACCCAAACTCCCACGAAACAGTTGTGAGCATGATATGGAAGCATACTTCATGCAGACCCTTGTGTTCACATAGGAAAAACACCACCACGGGATAATTTAATCAATTGTAAAATTTGTTATACCTTCTATTGGCCATGCATTATAACCCAAGCCAAAAAAATAAAAAGAATAAAGAAAATAAAATAACAAGAAAGAAAGAAAGAAAAAAACTGTATATTCTTGGGGAGATTGCTATATTTACTTTAGTGCTACGGTAATTGTGAAAGACTTCTGCTTGGAAATTGTCCTTCAAGCGAAGGTTGCTCCCGCATGGGTGTTTTGTAGACATTGCCAATTGAGGCCTCCCTAGTGCACTCCGTGCCCAAATTTTTTCAAGTGCAATGTGATTTCAGCATCATAGCTAATGTAAGGATTAGTTGCCATAGTAACTCAAGAACAAAAAAAATCCTCAGTAAGGGAGTTCAAATCTGTGGAATCTTTTAAGTGGAGGACTTAGTGAATACTAGTTAGCCANTTCAGCATCATAGCTAATGTAAGGATTAGTTGCCATAGTAACTCAAGAACAAAAAAAGTCCTCAGTAAGGGAGTTCAAATCTGTGGAATCTTTTAAGTGGAGGACTTAGTGAATACTAGTTAGCCAGAAACTAGAATAAATGCCTACTGCTGTTAAGAGCATATTTTTTTTGATAGGAAACAGAAAACTTTTATTAGTAAAAAATCAAAGTGTACATCGAAATGGTTGGATAAGAAATCCAACCAAGAAAAAGAAAAACATAACCAAATAATGAAATACTTTGAGAAGAACATGTTGTCGTCATTTAGAGTGCTCTGCTTAACATATTCCTCTATCCCCCCAGATATCATTGTTGGCTATCAGGAGACATCGAACAATATCCTGTAAGATGAAACAGAGGACACTCGTAAGCTGTTATTAACTTGTCAGAATCTAGTCGGTAGACTGCTGATTGTTCATAGATGCTTCCCTATATTTTTTTTCCTGTGTCTTTGATTGTCAATGTTTCCCTAGATCTTCACATCTGTTTCAGATTAATACAAAATTAAATAGGAAAAATATATGGTTATAAAGTTTGGGTGGAGACTTTGGTTTTGCAAGTGGTAGCCAAGGCTACAATTGAGTGGCCTGTCCGTCTATGAGAAAAATTTAGGGCGAGGTCAATTCGAAAGTAACCTTGTGGGATGATGTAGCTGCTGAGATAGTTTGTTTGACTAGAAATATTTGTGAGTGAATGAAATACAAACTAAGTGTAGAGCCCCCGTATATATAGGCCAATGAAAGTTTACAATAAGGATAAAAAGGTAAAACAAAATAAGCCCTAATAAACTAGGTTATATCTCCAACACTCCCCCTCAAGCTAGGCACAAAAATGTCAATTAAGCCAAGCTTGACAACAGAATCTTGAAGAATGGATAGAGTGACAGGTTTGGTGAAAACATCCGCAACCTGATCACTGGTCTCCACGAACGATGGAGTGACAATACCACTGCTAACCTTCTCGCAAAGGAAGTGAACATCGATTTCTGTATGCTTTNAGCCAAGCTTGACAACAGAATCTTGAAGAATGGATAGAGTGACAGGTTTGGTGAAAACATCCGCAACCTGATCACTGGTCTCCACGAACGATAGAGTGACAATACCACTGCTAACCTTCTCGCAAAGGAAGTGAACATCGATTTCTGTATGCTTCGTTTTCTTGTGTAATACAGAGTCAGAAGCGAGCTGAATAGCAGATCGATTATCACAATATAATATAAATGAAGAAGTCATTGAAAATCCCAACTCGCCAAGAATCGATCATAACCAGATAATCTCACATATGCCAAGTGTCAGTGCCCGATACTCTGCTNCAGATCGATTATCACAATATAATATAAATGAAGAAGTCATTGAAAATCCCAACTCGCCAAGAATCGATCATAACCAGATAATCTCACATATGCCAAGTGCCGGTGCCCGATACTCTGCCTCTGTTGACGAGCGAGAGACAACTGACTACTTCTTGCTCTTCCAAGAGATAAGATGAGTCATTCGTAAAACACAGAAGCCCGTAGTAGATCGACCATCACACGGCCTNCGAGCGAGAGACAACTGACTACTTCTTGCTCTTCCAAGAGATAAGATGAGTCATTCGAAAAACACAGAAGCCCGTAGTAGATCGACCATCACACGCCCCCCCATAATCTGAATCTGAATAACAGGCTAGAGAACCAGTCTGAGATCCTGATGTATAGAACAACCTAAGTCCAGGACAAGACTTGAGGTATCGAAGAATATGATAAATTGCATCAAGATGAGGCTGACATGGTCTGTGCATGAACTGACTAACTCGGCTGACAACAAATGAAATGTTTGGCCTAATGTTAGCTAGGTAGATAAGTCTACCTACCAACCTCTGATAGACAGTCAGATCTCTCAATTCTTCACCTTCAGCAGTAAGCTTCCGGTTTAAAATCATGGGTGATGATGGTTTGCACCCCAACATCTCAGTGTCTGAGAAAAGATCCAGAACATATTTTCTCTGAGAAAGAACAATACCCTTGCTGCTACGGGCAACCTCAATCCCAAGAAAGTATCGCAGAAATCCAAGGTCCTTCACATTGAAGGCCTTTCCAAGGTTTACCTGGACCTGTGCAGTCCTAGAAATATCATCTCCAGTAATAATAATATCATCAACATATACCAAAAGGATGACATACTTTCCAGAAATATTCCGTCGAATGAAGCAAGTATAATCAGAATTACATCTGGTGAACCCTAAATGTATAACTACATCACTAAATCGAGAGAACCAGACTCGTGGTGACTTTTTCAGTCCAAAAGAGACTTTTGCAGTCGACATACCTTTCTAGCATACTCCCTCTCACCACGAAAGCCCGGTAATGCATCCATATAAATAATTTTATCCAGATCACCGTGAAGAAATGCATTCTTGACATCCAACTGATGAAGAGGTCAAGAGTACTCCACAACCAGAGAAATAATCAATTGAACAGTAGTCAATTTTGCCACGGGGGCAAAGTTAGTACCAAAATCACGACCTGATAACTGAGTAAAACCCTTCGCCATAAGCCTAGCCTTGTGACGATCAATAGTACCATTCACAAGAAATTTCAGGGTGTAAACCCAGCGATAGCCAACAGGCTTCTCCCCTGAAGGTAAAGAGAGAAGATCATGCATATAATTACGCTGAAGAGCGTCCATATCTGTCTTCATGGCAAGAACCCACTAGGGCTCCTGCACAGTCTCTGAAACAGAGTGAGGAACCGGCGTATCTGATAAAGCCATACTATAAGCTCAAAATATTGGAGAAAGACCACCATAANGTCTTCATGGCAAGAACCCACTAGGGCTCCTGCACAGTCTCTGAAACAGAGTGAGGAACCGGCGTATCTGATAAAGCCATACTATAAGCTCAAAATATTGGAGAAAGACCACCATAAGAAACATAAGCAGAGATCGGATATAAAGTTCTGATGGTCCAACTATAACGGACAACTGGACGACAATCATGATGTGGATAACAACGCCCTAAATCATCATTCTCTATTGACAATGTCTCATCAGGGAAAGTAACTGGCTTAGTATCTACAATCTCAGCAGTACTAACAACAGGTGCACTAATATGTTCAACTAACTGAGAATTATTACCTGCATCGCTTGAGGTAGAGGGGATATCAACAGGGAGATGAGAGCGAGGGTGACGAACACAAACCTGCAAAGGAAGAGAGACTGGTGACTTTGTACTGACAGGGACGAGTGGCTTTGGTGGAGGAGAGACTGATGACTCTGTAGTGATAGTGACCAATGACTCTAGCTCCTGTGATAACGAAAAATCAAAGGGAGTATCATCAATTGAAGGGGCAGACACAGGAGTGGAAGAAAAATAAGTAATGTGCTCAAGAAAGGTAATATCTAAACTGTGATACATACGGCACCTGATACGATCATAACACCGATATCCCTTAGACCGATGACAATAGCCCACAAAGATACAACGAATCACTTTATCANCATACGGCACCTGATACGATCATAACACCGATATCCCTTAGACCGATGACAATAGCCCACAAAGATACAACGAATCACTTTATCATCAAACTTATGGCGAGTAGGAGACTGATCCTGAACAAAACATGTGCAGCTAAATACACGAGGGGGGACCGAAAAAGTATCTGCTCAGGAAATAAAACTTGTAAGGGAGTCATATGCTGAAGAACACGACTCGGTGTACGATTACATAGAAAGGTAGAATTTAAAATAGCAAAATTCCAATAAGATTTTGGTACTCCCATACCTCTAAGCATATAACGTACCATCCCTATTAGACTCTTATTTTTCCTTTCAACAACTCCATTTTGTTCAGGAGTATATGGATNTTTGGTACTCCCATACCTCTAAGCATATAACGTACCATCCCTATTAGACTCTTATTTTTCCTTTCAACAACTCCATTTTGTTCAGGAGTATATGGATAAATTAGCTGCTGAAGGATACTTTGAGAAGAAAGGTGAGACACTAAGGTATCAGACACATATTCTTTGGCATTATCTGAACGAAGAGCACGAACAATGACATCGAATTGTGTCTTAATCATCTAGAAAAATTGAGTGATGACAGGAAGTACATTAGACTTCCTATACAAAAGGTAAACCCAAATACAACGAGTATGGTCATCTATAAATGTCACATAATATCGAGCACTTGACAGAGCAGTACAAGAGAGGGTTCCCAAATATCAGAGTGTATT